CCTTCTTCAAGAAACTTGATGATCTCTGGTTCGTGGATATTAGAAATCTGGCAAATTAAATTCAAAGTACGGTTTGGCTTTTAGGTGATAGGACTCAATACAAAACACAAAACACAAAGCGGTATCACAAAGATCCCAAAACCTAATGGCATTTTCTTTTCAACAAAACATGTAGCCGTTTCCTTAAGGGCTGTGCGAAGTGGGCACTAGGATAGGTGGGCACTAGGTATGGAGGCACATTTGAACTCGAGTAAGCTAGCCCTGCCCTTAGAGGAGGGAGGGAAAAGGACGAAGGGGGGCCGGAAAGAAGAGAGTGGATGGGTATGGGAAAGAGGGGGAAGCTATGTGAGAAACGCTCCGTGCTCATAACGAAGCTCTTCAGTCGACTGATATCCACTCCCGAGAGCTCATCGGGAGTGTGAAAAAAGTGCGACCCAAGGTGCTTAAACCTTAGGCTCGGAAAGGCAGGGCAACAGAGCAGCAGATGTTGAGATGATTCCACCTCATCGTCATCCATGCAACTGGTGCAGTAAGGGCTATCCATGACATTCAGCCTTACGGCATAGTTACCAATCACACAGTGACCAGTAAGCACTCCCACCAATAGTGGGAGATGCAGCTTGCTCAGTCCCTGGAGCTCCCCAGAACGATTATAGTCCACCCGTGGCCAGACAGACTTTGCCACCATGCACTGGAAGGTCCTCGCCCAGCACTCGCTGAGCTGACCAAACGCCCATCTGGCCAAAAGCAGACAACACGAGGTCAGGGGAGCCTCCAGACCCTCCCTATCCGAAAGTAATTCCTCGAAGGTACCCTGCCTAGCGAGCTCATCAGCCATGCAGTTGCCAGCGATTTCGCTGTGGCCTACTACCTTCGGTGAGAGGCCCCAGCGCTTGCCAATGGCCCCTCTACAACAATACTGTGCTACCATAGCCTTCTAGACTCTTTCCTCCACGTTAGGCTTCCAGGAAAGCTTACTGTCAAGGATCAAGCCCAAGTACTTCACCCTGTCAGAGAGCCTTAGATGAAGACCACCCATTGAGGGAAGACGGCAATTCGGCAACTTATACCTGCTAGTAAAGAGAACAAGCTCCGTTTTACTGGGGTTTACACCCAGCCCGCAGCTAGACGCCCAGTTTTCAATCAAGCTCAAACAGTGTTTCCGGAAACTTTCTTTTTGTTATCAATACTACAATAGAGGGCACTAAGAAAGCAACATTTTTTTAAAAGAAAACGCCATAAGTGTGGCTGACAGATTCCACCTACTCAGTTCAGCAGTTGATTAGTTGATTTTAAGAGAGCTGTGGTGATTTGAGGTGAAATTCGTTGAGCAACGTTACACAACATAATATAGCATAACAAAACATAACATAACTAAAATAACATAACAGAAAAGAACAGAACAGAACATAATAAAGCATAACATAAGATAACATATCTCGTTCTTCAGTTTTATTTTTTTCTATGTCGCTATATCTATCTCGGTGGGGTGCAACAACACCATACGCAATAAGGCCATAATGTCGTTATTTCGCTTGGCGATTGGAAATAAAACCACAGTTTCGGTACGGTCTTATTTCCATTTCCATCACCATTAGGTCACTTTTACCCGACCCATATAAGTGGTCTAGAGTTATCAGTTTATCTAATTTTCTTTTCAGGCTGTGTGTTGTAAATATTCACCATTATCGCCTTCATTGCCATAGGTTTCTTTCAAAATTCAATGTAAATATTTTCCATAAGAAACATCTGCTCTCATTGTTTGCCAATTTGGCGCTCAGCCAGAATATTGTACGTACTAAACTAAAATAAATTGAAGACACTAGGCCAGTAGTTTCCTTTACTTTATGTAAATAGTAGTTATAACATAAAATTCGTGCGCTGCTAGGGCGATTGGGTACAGACTTCATCGCACATATTTATGTGTGAACAAGTACACATGCACATATGTATGTAGATACATCTGTATGTAGATATAGGTAAAGCTGTTTGAAAAGCATAGGAATGTTTCCTAAACGAATGCCGGCAGAAACACCTCAATTCCGAAATGCATTTTAAGCTCATACTCATGCTTACAAATGTACCTACATATGTGTGGATGTATGTGGACCAATACTTATTTTTCATATGTTTTTCTGCCGCTCACTCCATTTAAACACCCTACTACCCTCAGCGCTAACAATTTTTGCTCTTGTTCGCTTACAGTTTCCGATCGCCATCACCAATCTCATTACTACCGTCACTTTTTTTCTCTCTCTTTCGTTTACTTTCACCCTCCAAGCTGCATACCTATTTATGCAAGTCCTAATCATCAGCCCTCTTGCGCTTCATTGCCAATCCTTTGTGCTGCGCTCCCATTGTAACAATAACCTAATTTCATAATGTAACGTTGAAGCAAATAAATGATTGGGAAATTCAGTTGCAAAAAAAGAATAAAAATAAGGGACAGGGGGCGGATGCAACAACTTTCATTGTGTAAAGGACGATTCATTTTCATTTCCAATCGATGGTATGCGACATCAGCTGTATATTCAACGCTGAGTAGCGTCTTTAGCTGTAGGCCTTTATGGCACACATGTGTTTGGGTTACCATTCTCGCATTTTTCCGCTCCAACTACTCGCTGGCGTTGCTGCTGCGGGTAATCAATGGTAGGTAATTTTAAGGGTTGTTGGTGAAAAAGTTTACAAAAAAAAAAGAAAGGATATTGTATTGAGTAATATTGGAGAGTAGTACAGCGCGTATCGATTGCGGCATTATTTGCAAATGTATTTACAGCTGTACTTTTTATTATTAGTGTCGAGTATTATTGTAATGTGCATATGGAAGCATTGCGATAAGTCATGCGTTAACAGAAGTGTAGATAGTGCATACTTAAAGAGAACAAGAGTATAATTTTCACTTAAGAAATTTAATTTTTTATGGTATAATTGAAAAGGGTAATGCGCTTTATTAATTTATGAAGGCTACAAAACCAGCTATATGTACATACACTAATCGAAAGGGTTAATAGAAAGGAGAAGGTTTATCGAGCGCCGGTGATCGCCTTTTGCTTTAAATGACCCAGTCACTGGACTATAGCGGAACGTATTGCTTCCACAGATAGAAATTAAAATGCTGCTATAATTATAATAAGTGCTTATTTGAGACTTTTCAAATTGCTTTGGCGAACTTTCTTGTTTCAGTATAGCATAGATACATATCTATGTTAATAGGTTGGTGCTGGAAATTCAAAAATTAATTTAGATTCATTGTATTCATTTTGTCGGCTCCATTAAACGAATTTTTCCTAACCACTTTGGGAATATTTCAAGGCTTCTTCAGTATAACTTGTCACGAAAGTTTCGAACTACCCCATGTTGATTCTTAAATAGTCCCTTAATAATCCCAAAATGATCACGAAATAGTCCTGTAATATATCTGAACTAGTTCCCAAAATGATCCCGAACAAAATAGTTCCGAAAGGTTGTTCGCATAGTCATGAACCAGGTCCCTAATGGTCGTGAAATAGTTCTCAACTAATCCGGAGGTGGTCTTTTTGCATTTGCATTTTGTGTTCACAATTCACTGGAGCCTTAATTTTTCACTCAATTTGATATTTTTTTTAAGGAAGCTAATAAGAAATAAGATACCAATTTTTGTATTTTTTTTTTATTTGTATTAAATTTTTTAGTTCTAAGTGCAGAAAAAGTAGCAATTTTGAAGCAAATCGGTTCTGCTGTTCCAGTTACTAAATGTTACATAATAAAAACTAGTAGAAAACAATTGCAGGGCTACCCCAAAACGAAAAAAAATTGCATAAGAAAAATTTTAAAGTTATAAAAAAAACTTTCACCAAAATAAAAATAAAAAGTTTGAGTTTCTAGAAAAATGTTGGCTATGCAGTTTTATAGATGATTTACTTTTAGTATAATAAAGTGTAGCTTGCAAGTGGCTAAGAGGTCGCTTTGATTTTTAATATTGTTTTTTTTTTTTTATTCGCTGTCATTTCCAATTTTCTTCAAAATTGCAACTTTTTCTGTACTTCGCCCTAAAAAATGTAATACAAACAAACAAAAATTCAAAAATCGGGCTCAATTATTCCCTTTAAAATTTTATTAGCTTTCATTAAAAGATGGAATTAATCAAGTTTAGTGAAAAGTGAAGGCTCCAGTGAACAGTGAACACAAAATGTCAACTTTGAACGGTGGATAAGTTTCCAGACTCGCGATGTACATATCGATATCTATGGATGCTTTGCGTCGGTGGATAAGTTTCCAGACTCGCGATGTACATATCGATATCTATGGATGCTTTGCGTCGGTGGATAAGTTTCCAGACTCGCGATGTACATATCGATATCTATGGATGCTTTAAGCCAAAGGAAAGAATACTTTGTCACACAGTCTTCCTGCATCGTGAAGCTCTTTAATCTTTGCAAATCATCCGTCCCGAAAAAATCGTGCTAGGAAATCGTCTTCCGCTCAATTTCATCAAGTAAATTGGTTTTCCGCTTGAAACTAGGGCTATTGTAGCTTAAGTATGTATGATGTGCTTACTGTAGTAGAATCATAAATTTGGGGCTGATAGCATAGTTCACTAGGACACTAGCGAAATGATGAAAATTAATCTAAGGAATGGAAACTTTGAAGAGTTTTAGCTTTTTATGAATGATGTCATCTATCTTGTCAAATGCTTTAAAGGAAAATTTCGGCTTATTAGGAAATGAAGAACAGCCAGGCAAACCTAAATTGAGGTACATAGCGATTCCTTCGAGCTTTGACTAAATTATAGACCACTGCAAAAAAATTATTCCTGGCGCACCTACTTCTTCTTATAGTATTTTAAAACATTCTTGAATTTTCGTTGAATTAATAATGAAAAGTCAACCATACGCCTATCGAATCAAGCCCATGATTTAAACTTTAAAATCCCCAATAAAAGCCTTTCGTCCTTATTTATAACTATACATACAAGTATAAATACATATACGAAAAGATTTAAATTTCGTTTGAGTACTCACCATCCTCCAGTGTGCGCGCAATACGTGAATTCGATGGCTTTCCCTCGACGGATTTGTAAAAGGGTACAATGAAAAATTCATACAGCGTATATTGCAGCAGGCCACTTAGCGTGCAGGATGAGGCGCCGCCGCCGTTCAGGATCGTTAGCATGCGATATGTGGTGGCAGCGGTAGCGGTGGATGAGGCAGCATTATTGGCGGCCGCATCACGTCTGGCAGCGGCAATATTTGGCTTCGCCGAAATCAATGCGGCCGTCGCAGCGTCAGCTGACGATGACAGGGACGACGACGAAGATGAGCTGCCGCTACGTGAGCCTAGCAATGGATTGGCATTTGAGCTGCTACTCGCCGCTGAGGTGGTGGCAGTTGGTGGATTTGGCAATTGACGCGCGTAGATATAAAAGCCTTCCACGTATTTGCCGTTGATTATCTGTGAAGATAAAAGAAAGAAATAGGGATATAAAGCGACAAAAAGAATTAGCGAATAAGCGCTTGAAAGAAAGAAAGTAAAGAGCCAAAGAAGCAAAAGAAAAATTTGTAATTTAAATCGGTCGGCACTCTATTTCGCTTTCGACCACCTACAGGCAGTTGCCGTGCAAATTGGTTCGCCTTTCACAGGCCAATTGAAGACATTGCGCGCCGCTTGATTGCCTTGTCACGCTTCGCAGCTACATTGACATTGACATGCTTGCATTAAGGCGACGGCAAAAAAAGCTATACCAGGAAATGTAAGGATCGTTAGCACTAACCTGCCACGTCAATTTCATGCTTGTCGAATCCACAATGCTCGCGTTAATTAGTTCCACCACATCGCCGGATAGCAGGCTGGCGCGCGCCTCACTCAAATCCAAGCCGCTATTGAAGAACCGCTGCGAACAAAAAGAAAATACCAAAACTATTAGCTTCGGATATTCCACTCACTATTCTGTCTCTGGCGCACTTACCATGCCTACATTGATCGGCTCCGACATCGGACTGGGTAGCGATAAACCGTGCGAGTTTTCAGCGCGTATCACAAAAAAGTAGTTCACGCCCGTTACGAGCCCCACCTGCATGAAGGTTGTATTCTGTATGCGCGCACCCACCGCCACCCAGCCATCTGTCTCATTCTTGCCAAACATCTCGACGACATAGCCAACCAAGCTCGATGCGCCCACCTTATTGCTGCGCGTCCACGACAATGTGACTGTGTCTTCGGTCTTATCCACCACCTGCGGCTTACCCGGCGGACCTGGGTGCGTAGAAAGTTCGGGCGCGCGATAGAATTTAATATTCGGATTAGTGGGCGTATCCAAGCGTAGATAACCGCTCCACGATGATTTGCCATTCCGATTGCTAGCCACGCAAGTGTATAGGCCCTCATCCTCATTGCGCTGCAGATCGGCTATTGTAAGTGTGCCTGTTTCGGAGAGATTACGCCGCTCATGCTCATTCACATCGATAGGTATGCCATCCAGGTACCACGATACTTGCGGTGTTGGCGTGCCGCTGGTGCGACACGGCAGCGTTACAATCGATTTCACCGGCAGCGTTTGATTGACGGGACCCAACTCAATTATCGGTGGTGGCAGCTCAAATTGTGTGTCTACGGTAACAACGGTACGACTGCTGACGCTGCCAACCGCATTCAGTGCATTGCAAACGACCACTTTGCCCGAATCTTCGCGTGCGAAACGCAATATCGACAACACAGAGCGACCTTCGGGTGTTAGTGTTACCTCAATGCGTCCATCTTTGTAGCCGGGTAAGAGCAGCGAACTGTTGCCCTCCACTGACCAGTAGAGGGTGGGTTTTGGATAGCCGTTAGCTTGACATTCGAAGAGCACTTCATCACCGACTTCGACGAGTTGATTTTTGGGGCGAATGTTGAACTTTGGTGGCGCTGTTGGGGAGAGTGGGTAAATAAAAAATAAGTTGATGTGCATGAGAAATGTTAAGTAGTGGGTAGAAGTGGAGAGTAAAGCAAATAAGTTGTTATTAGCGGTAAATGTTATTGCAAATCATTGAGAAATGCTTGCTTTGTGTTCTTCTGTTTTTGAAATGGCGCTGAAGTGCGGTCAGGTAATTAATTTTTATGTTGCCGATGGTGCGGGTGCCAATGAACTAAAGGGTGTTTATTTCAGTGTTCTGAGTTGAAAATATGCAATTGCATTGAAATTTTCTCAGTGGCGTAGCAATAATCGACTACTATTTCGAACTTATACATAAAATCGTAATCGGGCCCGAGTCTCAGTTGTTGTCAACTACTTTTATTATTGGTAGTCTAAATACTACGTCATCAAGCTCTCCACCTTAAATATGCCTGTAAAATCAACCATGAACTAATTTTGTTTCCTCCCAGAAAGTCCAGTAAAGTTCCCGAGCTAACTCAGTGTACCATTTTGGGCCACATCTGTATATGGTTTCCTCACGCATTGGCACTCTGGAACAATAGGCATCAGGACATTGTTGAAAAAATTAATTAAAAGAGAAGGTCGGTCTTAGCGATATTCTGTTTGCCTTTTAGCAATAAGTTTTACATTCTTCTTTTTAAAACAACTAAATCTAAATATTAAACGAAAGTTTGTAAAAAAAAAATTAAAAAAGAAAAAAATATGCTCCAAATAATTACGTACATTAATAAAATATTTTTGTTAAAAAAAAAATAAAAATCAAAAATTGAAACAAAATTTAATTAAAAATAAATATGAAATTAAAAAGATATAAAATAAGTTTATCAAAATAAAAACAAAGTATCTTTGTTTTTATAACAATATCTAAAAACTGAAAGGTAATTCATAAAAAAAATTAAAAAAAAACAAAAGAAAAAATTAAAAAATAAACACAAAAAAAAGTTAAAAAATAGATAAGTTCTTTAAACTTGAATGAAATTAAAAAAAAAAAATCTTTTAAAACAAAATCTTAACATTTAAAACAAATGTAATAAAAATAGTAAAAAACAAGTTTCTAAAAATTAAACGAAATTAAAAAGATTTTTTTAATAAAATCTTAAAATTTAAAGAAAATGTAAATAAAAAAGACAAAAAACTAAATTAAAAAATAAGTTTGTAAGCGCCAAATTCACAGTGCGTAGTTAACCACTGATAAGAGTTAAGTTGTGAATATGAAAATCAATATTCATATTCACAACGCTCAGTTAATAAAAGTTGAATCCAGCATGCCCTCATAGTTAAACTCTTGTGAAATTAAATTTTTTTTTTCCGTGGAACGAATTTCAAATTTGTATAAAGTCTTGATTTTTAGAATTTGTATATTTTCAGGCGATATAAATTTCCATAGTTAACTATGTAACTCTGAATATAATTTCATAGTTAAACTCGTGTTGGTGGTTAAGTTAACAAACGTTTAACTAAGCCTAAAAATTAAAAAAAAAAAATAAAAATTTTTCTTTTTAGAAATTCAATAAAAAAGCCAAATTAAAAAAAGAAAGAAAATGTGTAATCTCTATGAATTAAATGAAATAAAAAAATATATATGTATTTTCTTTTTTTTTTAAAGACCAGCAGTGAAGTTTTCATATATGAAAGTCTTCCTTTTTTGTGCGAAAAATTGGCCTCGACTGATCTAGCAATGGACGATAGCATCAAATACAACAACTAGTGAGCTATACGCATATATGTATTTAACTATTTAGTTTCTTAGCTTTAATATTAATTTTTCAATTTTGTTTAGGAGTCCCGACTTCCTGATAGTTTAATCGGTATGTAAACTCGCCAACTGTTACGTTTTCAACACTAAGCTTATGATGTCATGAAACTTATCTTCAACTTTAAAAATTCTCCTTTTTATTTTTCATGTCTCACTTGTCTAATCCTAGATTGAAATCTCATTATAAATTTATGTAAGAGCACTAAGCAACCATACAACTTCAACTTTGACAACCAAATCTGCGGTCAAAACTTTGGCACCCTTTACATACTTACTTCACATGCCATCAGACAAATACTTGATTCTGTTCACCTTCCCAGCACGCGCTGTGCAAATATACTTCAAATGAGCCATAAAACTTTTATGTGCTTGGACATACACATGCGCAAGTTTTCATTTGAACATGTGTGTGCTACATGTGAGTATACGTATGTATGTAGGTGTATGGGTAAATATAAAACCAGCCATAGCACAATTGTTGTCTACGCATCTATGTATGTGGCATTGTCAGAAAGTTTCACATGCAAGCACACTTTCACACACAAACAAAGGCACATAGCCATGCATCAACAGTGATAGCAATTAACTCACCGTGAACGGTTAGTGTGCCCGTGGCTGTAATTGAACCGACCGCATTATCCGCTTCGCAACTGTACTCGCCCATATCCTCCAGCGTAACGTCGTCCAATTTAAGGCTACGATCTTCAAGGATGTGCACACGACCTGTGAAAAAAATGAGTGGGCAGAAAAAAGAAAACCGTAAATGAAATTAGTGGAGTGTGGAAAAAGAAAATTAAAGTTCAAGTGGTGGCCAAACAAAGCGAAGTGAGGCGTAAATTGTTTAAGAAGTGTACATATGTGAGACTTTATAAATGTATGTATGTATATCATAGAGAAAATTTTGTGCATAAAGGTGAAAAATGTTCGCAACCGAAGCTCATTCTCTTCCTAAGTGGCTCTGCGAAAAAAGTTTTACCAAATTTTTGTGGACAAAGAAAATTGTTGCTCATCGCAGTGCACTAAATTGTGGACAAGAGCAGCAATGATAATCATTGTTAGCGTTATTGCCGCTGTCGCCGCCGCCGCCGTCGACACACTGCTGCCCCCAACTTATTTTTATTTTTCTAGCTACTGGCTGTATTTTTCGCTTAATACAAAACTTGCAAAAATTTTCTTCTCACCGACTCTATACACAACGAACAAGAAGATGTTCTAAACAACTTAGCTGCGTACCATATACATAGTTACTCCACGAACAGTTAGTTTTTAGTGGCATATTGTTATGCGCTAAACAAGCGCAAGGACACAGTAATCACGTATACGCCCGGGTGCACTCTTGTTGGAGCAGACTCAATGCAAAGGCGCTTAAAGAGGCAATGGAAGGAGTACTCTGAACCTAAACAAATGCATATTTATGTATGCGTATGTATGTACATATTTACATGTATATCTATTTATAGCGTAAGATAGTGTAATGTGTTATATAACTTCGCAGCGACATTGTTGAGTAGCTCTCCAGTATGTGAGCGTGTTGCGCTGGCTGTCGCGCAGCACTCAATGCAAGCGGAAGGAAACTTTAGTACTTCGTATTTTCCTGATATTTAGATGTGTGATTGTATGAACACGTCACGCTTATTTGCTGCATTTGTAATTCATACAAACTTACATATGCATCCTTTATTAGCGGAATATGAATACCATATATACAGTGAGTGTTAGTGCAAAGCGTACATTAAATTGTTTTCAATTTTCTTTTAATATTTTATTTAATTAAAATTTTATTAAGTTGTTATAAAACTATAGTTCACACAACAACAAAATACATAAAACTCAAAGTTTCTAAATTCGTTACAATTAAAAAATAATCGTAAAATTTTTATCAAAATTTCACAAAAATTCGCAACATTATCAAAAAAAATGGCAAAAATCAACGAACAGCTAAAAAACTGCATACCCAAAAAAAATTTTAAAAGTTCTGAGACAAAAGTGTGAAATTTTTAAGAAAATTTGTCGATGTTACAAAGTTAGAAGCTTTGAGTTTTATGCATTGTGTTATAGTGTGAACTATATTTTTATAAAAAACTTATTAAATTTAAATAAAACAAAATATTTTCAATAAATGGTAAAAGATTTACTGCACAATTTTCACTGAAACTCACCGTACATATTTATGTACATACAATTGAGGGCTTCAAAGTGACACGGGAACTCAGCCAAATGAGAAGGCTGCGGGTGCATATTGCACAAAAAGTAGGATAAGTGTATATCGCACATCCGTTTCAAAAGAGGCGCAACTCATAAATCACACCCGAATATGTAATTGCTTGGGGATCATACAGATTCAACCACACTGAAAACTGTCATTGAAAAATTCACTATGAAGGAAATGTTCTACAACTAAATGATACATACAAATCGATTTCTTTTTTCACCCGAAATCAAATTTGGAAATAAATTTTTATATGAAATTTTTATGCAAAATTAAAAAAAAAAATATTTTATAAATCCAAAATAACAGTTATTTCAGATTCTTTAGTTGAAGTATCAACCTGACGAAGATGTATACATTTAGGCACAGCCGCAGGAAAGTCTGGTGCAGCGACTTTTTTTAATTTTTTCCCTTCCTCGTTCCTTTTTATACCTCGCAAAGTCAGATATTTCAAGAATTTGTTATAAATACTTTTACCTCTAAATATCTATATTTTAAACCCGTTTTGATCATTTTCATTCCACTGCAACCCCCCACCCACTGCATTTAATTCCTCTTATTCATACCAAATCATTCCCCCAACACTTCCGAGCTCCTTAGCTTTAGCCTGTCACTTCACTTCACACCTGTCCACCGACATAAATACCTACAGCAGCAAGCAGCTACCTACCAGTTTAAGCTCCTTAAACCACAGCTATGCTAACAATACTTCCTATTTGGCTGACAGCAATAAAATCCCTGGTTTATTTTGAGTCACGTTGCCACTTGCATAGCGCATAGTTATAGTTAGGTTGGTTAGTAGTTCAAGTATTGCAACGTAGACTCGAGTAATGCAAGCAAAGTGGAGTGTTGGATTTCTTCGCTGGCACTTGCAAAGTGGCGAAGAAACGAAAGGAAGTACATAGGTACAGACAGCAGCTAGAAGCCGAGGAACAGCAGAAGGGAACCAAGTTAGTGGTTGGCAGGGCACAGCATCCGAAGAAGGTGTGGCGCGGGTGGCAAGTAAACACTCATACAAAAACATACATGCATGCATATGTAAGCGTTAGCGGCAATTGCCACGTGTGCTGTGTTGCATTGTTTGTTTGCTGCTCCAAGGGGAGCTTCACGTGCCATTGTGTGTGTGTGTCTGTGAAATACTCGGATTTTAAATGTTTTTGTTGTCTGTGGCAATTGTTTGCTTAACAAAAGTTTACGGAAGCTTTGGCGTTTACATTTGCTTTTGCTACTTCCGCGCCGCTGCAGCGCCACACTGCCATTGCCACAACTACGACCACAGTGTCGCGTCCGGCTCTGGTAAAAGTTTTTCTTGCCGCCACCCTCTCCTAACACGCAAACAAATAAACAAAAGAAGCAACGCGTTTATTTGCTATGTGTATGTAAGTGACACACACACACCAGTCTCCGCCTCAGCCTCCGCCTCTGCCTCCGCCTCGTTAGCGTTTTGTGGCCCACACAAAAGACACTCAGCCGGCGTTTTCTTATTTGTTTGCATAGGTTAGTGGCTAAGCGTGTATGTAAGTGTGCGCATGTGTATGGCTTGCTTTGAGTTATTTTTGTTGTCCAACATTGTTGTGCTTGCGCACATCCTTTTACCCCTAACAATAACCACCTACCTGCCTATTTGGCCACCTTTTTCCTTTTTATTATCTCCTAACCACCACCTCCGGACTGCGCACTTCACCTGAGCCCCTTTTATCAGCTCAGCGCTCAGCTTTTAAACCTGGCCAGCCGCACATGTTCGTGCTGATTTTCCACCATTCAAGTGTTGTGCAAGCAAAACCAACAGCACAAATGTTGATTGCTGGCAACAGAGATTGGCAATTAACGGAATTAAAAGTTGCAGTTTGTTTTGTGGTACGTGTACGAGCGGTAGTAAAAGCGGCAGCAGCAGCAGCAGCTGCAGCAGCAGCTACGACAACAACGCAAACAGGAGCAACAACAACGCGCCAGACTTGTACTTTGGTGGACAACAGACAGCAACAGCAGCAGCAGCACTAACAAAATGACTTTTACACAAAGTGTTCAGCTAGCTGGTAGCACTTTTTCATCATTCTTCCTCTTCATCAGTCATACACTACAGCCCGCCCTACACTCGAAAAGACGTTGACCAAGTGCACTTGCAGTCATTGTGTTTACTGAGAAGAAGGCTGAGCTAGTCGGCTACTAAGAGGGCGCTCAGTGCTACCCACTTGTACACATAATTACATAGCCAAGCGCAAACTTAAATACCCAGGTTAAATGCGAGACGATTTTTTGGTCACCCATCACCCACCAATTTGCAGCTCTGCTGATGAACACCAATTTCAAAGACTCATGAAAGTCAAATTGTTGACGAATTGTTTTTTTTTTTTTAATTTGGTTAGGAATGCTTGATTGACGCAAATTTGAGGGAATATTGGTAGCACTGGTAATGTGTTTGAGGTACTAAGGTATGTTTGTGAAGTTGGCATACGGTATTACAAAAAAGGAAAAAAGCTGTTCTGAGTAGCTTTTCAATAGTTCTAGAGCTCGTGAAAAGGGGGAAAAACGTTGTGGATATTTTTCCGAAAAAAAAAATCAAAAACTGTGTATGCCAGATTCACGCAGCATACGACAGGTGATAAAAAGGCAAATAAAAAACAGATTAGCTTTTTAATCGGTCTAGAGTTCCTGAAAAGGAAAAAAAGTTCTGAAAAATTACGCCGAAAAAGACTTTAGATCGGAAAAGTTGAATGTCTGAAAAAAATACAAATTTAATCTGTTCTGAGTAGGTTTTCAATAGTTCTGGAATAACCGAAGTTTAATTTTTTTTTTTTAATTTTACGTTTTCGACTTTTACTTTTTTCTTCCCAGGAGCTCTAGAACTATTTAAAAGCTATTCTAAACAGTTTTCATTTTTATTTTTACTTTTTTCAAAAATTTAACTTTTTCAACTTTTTCGGCGTAATTTTGCAGAACTTTCTTTTTCCTTCTCAGGAACTCTATTTCAAAAATTTAACTTATTCGAAAAAAAGTTTTTTTTTGCGTAATTTTGCAGAAACTTCTTCTTTCTTCTCAGTGCTAATTCCAATTTTTTCTAAAATTTTACTTTTCGTATTTTTCGAAAAAAAAAATTTGCGGCGTAATTTTGCAGAACTTTGTTTTCTTTTCAGGAACGCTAGAACTATCGAAAAGCTACTCAGAAGAGTTTTTTATTTGCCTTTTTTGCCACATGTCGTATGCTGTGTGATAGATGTGTATGTGTAATTACTATATTTCTTAGGGTGGCGCTTAGAATATCAACATCATGGAGCAAACCCAACTCTTGTTTCATGTACGATATAAAAGTGTCCGCGAAATTTTCAAATTTTCGCTTACAGGGTGGTTTGAACAATTTTTATATTTNTTGTTTCATGTACGATATAAAAGTGTCCGCGAAATTTTCAAATTTTCGCTACAGGGTGGTTTGAACAATTTTTATATTTTTGTTTTCAAATCCCCAAAAATTTACAAAATTTTAAAACTTTTTATGTTTTTTTTAATCGCAAAAATTTTACAAAATTTTGACTTTGACCAGCTATACTTCAGCGAGTTTATGAATATGTGCCAATAAGTTTCAATAATATTCAATAATTTCTCAGATTTCTATTTAAGATTTTGTCGAATTTTTGCGGTTAAAAACAAAATTGGAACCTTGGTAGCGACTTTTAAAAATTTCTAAATTTTCGTAGATGTATTTGATTTATACGTAGGAACAAATAAATGGGTACCCTATACAAAATTTAGATTTCGATATTGTCAAGAACCACCCTAATGTATGCCTTAGATAAGGTGTGAAATCGTTAAAGTACAGATAAAATTGTATACGTATATGTACGTATGTAGCATCTGTATATAAATATGCAAAATAAAGCAAACGGTATGCAAATAAACACTTACGTAATGGCATATTTCCGCCCGAAGCGGTGCGTCGCCACAGGACATCCGGCAATGGATCACCGCCAATGCGACACTGAAAGATAACCGAACTGCCAACGACAGCGGTTTGATTTTGCGGACCGCGTATGAGAAATGGACGAACTGCAATAGACGAAAATTAACAGAAAGAGAATTTGAGAAATTAATTGCTTAGCTTATGCCTTAAAAGCACACATTTTCTTTATTTATAATTAAATTGTTGCTAAATTATTCTCTCCCACAACTTACCATGCACTTTTAGAAAGGCCGTCGCCGATTCACGTGTCCCCACCACATTCTTCACAACGCACTGATAACGGCCATCATCCGATTGTCGCGCATCCTGTATGGCCAGATTACCGCCATCGACAATGCGTATACGCTTATTGCTACTCAAATTCATTGTTTGACCATTTTTACGCCATGAAATTTGCGGTTCTGGTGAACCACGCGGCGCGCCACACTCCATCAGCGCCACTTCGCCTTGAGCGACGCGCGTATTTTGCGGTTCGAGGCGAAATTCATCGCGAAGAACTGGAAAAAGAGTGGAGAGAGTTGGCAATTTATTAGTTTACAACTTTATTAAACATACTTTGGCAAAAATTTAAAATTTTTTTTAAAGCTCGCCTTTTTTTTGCTGAAAAAAATGTGTAATTTTGCTCCTTCATCTTTCGTTTGCAAAGACTAAAGTGGACCAAAAATGGCTAAGCTATTTTCTCAATGCCATCCTTCTTGAGGAATAAACAGGCCTAATGGTTTTTTGTCATTGTTATCGATATTTAATTGGTTAAGTTGTTATCGGTATCGTTTTAGTTGTCATTTTGGCTAACGATAGTGTCTTAAATATAAATCAGGGACCGTAATGGTTATAATCATTATGATAAAGCGATCTGTGTGCCAAATTTCATCTAAATCCGTCCACCCTGCACCGCTAAAAGACGTTCTAAGTTGAAAAAAAAAATAAATAAATAAAACGTTACTGCTCGCCAACAGGCCAGGCTCTCTAATTTGACATATAAATTTGAAATTCAAAATAACTGTCCTCCTCATTTTCTTAAATAATTTTAATTTAACAGGTGGCAACTCTCTTCCAAAAAGTAAATTATTACTGCACATCTACAACCCAGGCTTTTAAATTTGACACCTCTGTCTTGAAAATCGAACTAGCGGCGCAGATTTGCTGGACTTGATTATAAAATAATTTTAATTGTATTTTTAAGAGGTGACAACCCTGTGCGAAAAATCAAGACCTTACTGCACATCTAACACAAAATCCCATTGATTATTAAAAAATTTGAATTAAATTTTTTAACAGGTGGCAACTGTATTCGAAAAAGTAAAACCTTATTGCACATCTACAAGTCCATTAAACGATCATTTCACATGATGATGATCCTTTCTGGTCTCATTTAATCTCATCTCAGCATATCCCATCGTATTTCACCTAACTTCATCATCACACATCACATTACCTAAAATGTCGTCACGTAATATGAAATAATCTTCTCTGGTCTCATTTAGTTTTATCTTATCGCATCTAATTTCTTCTCAACATATTCATGATTTCAGCGATTTTTTTAACTCAATTCTTAAATTTTTGCTTTAAATTTCAACCCAAATCATTCGATTTATCAACCCTTTAGTTATAAATTTATTATTTATTTATCTCTTCCTTGCGAAGTGTTCTCCGCCTCCTCCTCCATCGGCTCGCCCATTATTAGTTCTCATTAAAATTGCAATAACATTTATGCTTCGCTTTGTATACTACTTTCCTATGGCTTCTTTGATCCTTCCTAATGAGGCACAGCATGCAAATAATACGCTGAGCTTTACAAAGCTACATAAATCTTTCAAAGCCTGCCTTTCAGCTTGTCTACCTGCTGACTTGTTTATATGTCTGTATTTATGTAAACAACAAAAACAGCAATACAACCGTCGAATATCCTTTTCATTGACAAGCTTTATTGGCGCTATTTGCCATTTCAGCATTTGCATTTCGAAGTATTAAACTATCCGCTGAATAGCAGTCATTATTATTAGTTGGAAATAACTGATTGAGAGAAGATATGAAATTATCAATCAATTTATGTTTCTATGACAGTTAAAGAAAATTAAATTTTATGTATTCGTACCTTGATTGAATGACTAGGAAACGTAGGATAAAAGAAAATCTTATAAAAGGAAAATGAGGAAGTTTTTTTTCGCATAGTGATTTGTTAGCAAATATTTGCATTTAAAAGGAGCTTTAAAACTATTTGGAGGCAAAATATTTGCAAAAGGCAAAGCTAATATTTTATTGTTAAAAGTGAATACGTCTTCCCTCAAACTTCTGTAACTGAGTTTCTAGCTAATTAGCCTTATTTAGCACAAAGAGTAAACGTTCGCAGCTTTTCGCTTAATATTTAGTACACAACTTATAACTTCAGCCAGTATAACTATAAAGATATCCTTTAAACTCCTTTGTTTTTAATATTTTCTTATAGTTTATCTTCTACTTACATGCAACTTGTAGCGTAGCATTGCGCGAACGTGCCACGCCGAATTCATTTTTTGCCACACACCAGTACGTGCCCGCATCACTTTCCCGACGTGAGTGGATCACCTGAAAACGAAAAAAAATGTAGGAAAACGAATAAATTTTGTTGCAAGTGTAAAATTTTATAATGATTATTGCACTAGTGAAATATTTTGCAAGGCAAGTTATAATTTCTAAGAACGTATTACATGTAAACCGAAGGTTTATTACTTGTGGTACTTTAGAGATTTTTTTAATTTGTTTTTTTTTTTGAAAATATATACAGTCTCCACCACACAGCCTCTCAATCTGGAGAATAAATTCGACACAGGTATTTCTTCTAAGAATCACTAAAAAGCCGATTTCATCCATGGCACGGCAGCAAAGAGCGCCCGCAGGCTCAGGGAGGCTAATACGCGGAAGGCAATCAATTTCGAGCATGCAGCAATACTGAATGAAATAAAATTGGGCCGGTTCAAGAGAATTATCGCTGACATAAAAAACACCACTGACTAAATATATTTCGCCTGTTTGGAACTTCAGTACCAAATGTACCTATTAGGTTCCCGACCAGAGAAGAATGAGACGCAGGACTGCCAGTAGATGAAAACAAGGAACCGAAGATGAAAGGACCCAACCAATCATACTTTCCCAAGCTGGAAAATAAAAGGTGATCGACAGCATTCATCTATACGACGACACAACAAATTTTTCCCTCTGCTTCGTCAGGAAAAGATTCGAATCCATCACAGTGATGCCAGATTGTGGGTAATTTCCCTATTTGAGGGATATTTTGCATCAAAAATTATTAAAAGGGAAAAAAGGGACACTTCATATAAATAAGGGATTTTCTTTTGACGCAGTTATTGTTGCATAATTGTAATTAATCGTTCTGAAGATGTGATGTGGAGTGAAATGGTATATAATCGTTAAAAAGTATAAGGACAATTTCGAAAATTTTCTTACGTTAACCAATTCAAGCGCTGAGTAAGAAAGAATCTTTTCAGTTGTAACTGGTGTTTCATGTAAGAAGCGGAACAAATTGTCTGATGAAATGTTAAATAGCACATGAATGTGCTTCAATTTTAAAGTCACCAAAAAATTCTTTTAGGCCCTTAGTGAGTGAGCAAAAAAATGAAAGGGAAAAAATGAATGACTGAAAAAAATGCAGAAAAAGGGGTTTTTTCTTAACAGCTGTCGGCCCTCGACAGGCAATGGCAAACCTCCGAGTGAATTCCTGCCATGAAAAACAGCTTCTCATAAAAATACACTCGCCATTCGGAGTCGGCGTAAAACTGTAGGTCCCTCCCCTTTGTGTGACAACATCAAGGAGACCGCCACAAATTGGAGGAAAAGCACATATGTGTAAGCGCCAAACTATTATTATTATTTTATATGAATTTTACTTCTTTACTACTGAAACATGTATATGTTTAAATTCGTTGGGAATTTTGTGGGATAAATTTTCAAGATGTGGGTAATTGAGGGATTTTTTCCCCATTTCCGTGGGATATTTAACAGAGAATGTCTGGCATCACTGATCCATCATTCGTCTAGAATGTCCTCTACTTAGGCAAGTGAGCTGAACTATAAGTGGACACTTTTTAATGGGAAGGCATGCTAGAAAAATGGACTTACCAGCAAATGACTTATTCACCTTTGTCTTGCGGACTCCAAAAATTGTGGCGGTTAATCAATGAAATCAATTGCTTACTATTTGTAGATGGGCGGGCTGAAATCAAATAAGCTCGAAATGCCTCTCTCCTTTTCGGATTGTAGGTAGCCATTTCAACCTATCCATTTTCTAAAGTTCGTTCTATTAAGACCAAATTTAAGCTTAAGTAAAATAAAAATTGATTGGATCGGTCAGAAAAAAGAAACAAAGGATCTCAGCGCTTCTGAACACATCCCGGGATATGTTTTGGTCGTGACTAATACAAAATCTAAAGCAAAGCTCGGCACGCAACGGAAGGCAAAAAGCTTTAAAGTTCATACTGTATTGTTAGGAACTGATTTAAAAAAAAATCAAGGAAGCTGATTTTGATCGCTTGTGCCTGAAATAGTGACGATCAGAGCGAGGTTTTACTCTGTGCACATCCATGAAAAATCGCTCGAAAATCTTATCTATCAAAATAAGCCCAAAAAAGCAAAGCATTTTAAAGCTCGTCTATCGAAATAAGGTTTCTTCGCGACTGGCCCACAAAAACGAATACCATAAAACTATTTTGCTATGGCAGTCACTAACAGGATGCATTTAATAGCTTCTGTGCATTATATATTGACGAGCAGAGATTAAAAGCTCCCTCTGAACATAACTTGACTGTTTTTTTTGGCAGTTATGGATCTTCAACTATGCGGGTAGGTTTGGCTTTGTCAAAATCGTTAAAATGAGCATTACTTTGTTCAGTGAAATAATAGCGGCTAAAATCGAAATATATCAGTTTATCTCACTTCTTCCAGTCAAAGTTACAGAGTTGCAAATTTACTTTCAATCTCAATTAGCTACAGCACTCAAGTCATCATCTCTTTTCACATGCATAATTTCTGAAAAGCTTTACTTCACTTTTTTTCGAAAGCTTTTTAAAAGCACAACTATCAGAATGATCTAAACCTATTTATGCGTAAGCTTATGTAGAGAGAAAGTTCTGTTGTCCAACTGAACAAGCTTTAACTAAACAAGATTTCACGAAAGCTTTCATCAAAAGCTCTAATTTTAGGTTTTATAGATCGCAAAGAAAAGTTGTTTCCCAACTTCGCCTTTCAATTTGCTCTTACTTGATTATTTTAATTCCTTAAAGAGTTCATAAGGAGCTTAAATTTCAGCTAATTTCTATTAGCTAACAACAAAAACATAATAAATCTCTACAAAAAACCATGCACTAAATTTAAGATTTCATTTCTATTTCTATTCTATCAGTAGTCTACACACTTTTCTACTACTCTATTTTGGAATTCCTCGCTTCAGTTGAATTTTCGAGATTAAATATGCAGCACGTGCGCATCAGAATTTTTACAAGTTTTCAAGATCAAAGTGAAAATTTCAAATATTGCAAAATCTTTGTCTGCTTACCAAACTCCAAATCACAACCAAATCACAGCTAAGGCAGGACAGTAGGCAAGCAACAGCAGCAAAAATACAAAATCCAACAACAACACTCCTACGCGTGTATAAACATTTAACGAGAACCGAAGATGAATCAACCCTGGCGGGCAACAAACAATGCGGCACAAAAGTAACAAGAACGCCAACACATAAAAACACATTGTCCGACTTCATTTAATTTAATTAAAAATGTTACGCCAGTGCGTTATCTCGAGCAGCATCTACTCTACTACTCGTATCTAGTGTTAGAAGTTGATTTTTTTTTTTGCACTGCGTTTCGCTGTTTGAGGGGTTAAAACTCGCTTCAAAGTATAGAAAAAGATATACAACAAACGCAAAACGAAGTAACATGAAAACAGAAAATGACATAGGAATTTGTTGTTTTTGTTGTTCACTCGAGTTAATTGACAAGAGTGTCCGCCTTTGCCATTGAGTGGAAGAAAGAGTCGAAAATTACACAGCCATCATACGTTGGTAATACATATCTATCTGCTATAGAAATGCTCAGCGCGCACAACAAAAGTAACAAAAAGATTGTAAATACAAATGTAAAAGTTACAAAGTCAACATTTTGCAAGTTGAATGAGTTTTAATGCCTTCGACCCCGCAGCGTAAATTTTTTGAGGAAGAGGAGAAGAAGGGGATGGGGGCAACACACTTGCACCCCACCACACTATAATTTGTAGCTAAACGGTGTAAGCATAGAAATTTGAGGCAGTTAGCGAGTGCCAACGCTAACCCCCCACTGCTTGGCTGGACGATATACTCGTAGCGGGTAAAGAGATGCGGATGCGTGGTTGTATCCCTTCAAGTGCTATTGAGTGCTCACATTGAAGTCCCGCGTTGCCGTTTGATGAATGTTTGAAGCGATTAACTTTTTATTTTATTAATTTTTTTTCGCCTTTTGCTGAAGGGTGCTGCAGGACAACGCGTCCTCTTACAACGACAGAATGTGCCTTTGTGGTAGGTTTGACGCTTTTCAAAAAGATATATTTATATTTTGCAATAATTGTTCCAAATGAATAAAAATTGAGCAGTCGCGCGGAAAATATTTTATTTATATTTTTTTTGCTTGCAGCGGTGAAGCAATTAATATTAAAAATGCCTACATAAATGCTAGGAATACATTTTTAGAGGAAGATTAAGGGATTGTGCAAGGATCTGTGGACCTTTGGAAAAAATGGCGGAGGATTAGGAGAAGGGCGAATTTAATCAAGGGAAGAGCAAATGAATTTCCATATCCCACAAACCGGGTTCCCAGTTTTTGCACCATATTCTGTGGCTGGGAACTGGTATATTGAGAGAAATACTATTTCATTGCTCATGATGAAATTATTAAAATTCCCCCTAAGACTTTCAGTAGCATCTGTCCCAAGTGTGGGGAGACCTTTCAATATCATCAAGGGGGATAATATGTAGTTAAGATTAGGAGAAATTGGCGCCTAGTCCAGCATTCAGCTGATATGGATAACAAATACAAGCTGCGAGAAAAGCTTTTTAAAACTTTTCTTACGACGTTTTGTGAACGCGCACAGCGAAAAGTCTCTGCCGAAACCATTGATGCGCGAAACAGCGCACGCGGGCTTTAAAGATTTCGCATAAAGTAAAAGCTCACTCTCATTGCCACTGCTATGGACGTGAGCAGGATGAAAACGCTCTCTGTACATTACTGATGTAGATCATGCACGGCCATAGCACATTAATTAAGATAAGCTTTTAAAAGCTTCTGCAGATTTTATATAGCAGCGTATAGAGTAAACCTTTCTCTAGATGTCGCCGATATACATATACAGAAGCTATATTACTAACGTAAGTATTTATATCGGTGATCCTCCATTAAGCACCTGCGTATGAAAATCTTTAAAGCTCTCTGTAGATTTTATTTGGGCGCGCATAGAGTCAAAACTAACCCTGATCGTCACGGATTTGGATTTACATCAGAGCTTTTGCTCTGCATGCGCCTGTAAAAAAAATGTATAGAAAGCTTAAAAGAGCTTTACCCGCGGGCAAGGCGATGCCCATCACCGATTTGCATATACACACTTTTACTTGGCGGTACCTCTTTGTTGAGATTATAAAACGGTTAACAAATCAATGCTACCAATGATATTTTTGAAAGCTCAAGAAGAAGATAATTTAAAGGATTTTGCTTATTCTGGCAGGAAAGTCATACATACTTTTTAATTTTTTTCATAAAATTTTTTTTCTTCTTTTAATTACATTTTCTTCAAGTTTTTCAATTTAATGCTTTGGGATTCTTGCAATTTCTACATTTTGACGATTAGAGAGAGCGGTTGTTTTGGGCTTTTTATTATTGAGCTAAACTCGTTCTCGATTAAAATTTGTAGACAACACAAGTCTGTGACTACCAAAATGAACAAATCATGTTATTCCTGCTTAATGTCTGCTCGTTAGCAGATGTTGCAATTAGACTTCCGAAAAACAGAAAAGAGCATTCAGGAAAATTGAAAATTTTTGTTTTTGCTTAAATTAAATTGGTTATTTTATTGTGGTATGCAGTATAATTTAATTTTTTTTTGCAAAATATTCTACGAAAAATTTGATTTTATTACACATCATAACGAGGAAGTAAAACATTTTAATGAATAATTTTCCCAAAAATTGTATGCTATTAAAAAATAGTTGTAGAAATAAATTATTTATTTTAAGCAACAGCATTTATCTTGCAATTTCTTTCAGCAAAAAAAAAAGCACATTCAAAATCCGGAATTTATCTAAAACCTGTTGTAGCAAGAATTTCCTTAAATTTGTGCATTTGTTAAAAATTTAAATATTTTTATTAAAATTGTATGCTATTAAAAAAACTTGTAAAAATAAATTATTTATTTTAAGCAACAGCAGTTTTCTTGCAACTTCTTTCTGCAATAAAAAGTACATTCAAAATCCGGAATTTATCTAGCAAGAATTTCCTTAAATTTTTGCATTTGTTAAAAATTACAATTTTTTTTTTGGTTCAACTCTCTGTTTGCTTTAAATATTTAAAATTATTGAAAAACTGTGTTAGCTTCTGTTGCGGCCGCATGTCGATTTTCCCAACAATTGCTTTTTAAGAAAGCCCTTAAAATAGAAATTAATTAACATATTCACAATTTTATGCAAACATACGCTTCAACGAGTATATTGAATAAATAATTTGAATATCAAAAGCATAAATATTGAATTTACAGATAGGCCAGCAGCGAAGGAGCCGAGTACTTACTTGCAGTATTTCCAGCATTAAAATACCTAAGTGTGTATGTACACTTAGAGATGTGCAGATATACATATGTACATATGTATGTATATAGTTTGTGTTAACGACATTTATGGCTGACACTTATGCGAAAATAAAATTTACATCTACAATGCAATTTCACTATTTAACATCCGTGTATAGCAAATATTAATGTGTGTGAACAGCAGTCTCTTTGTCTCCAATGGCCATAACTAACCTCCCTTCGCTTTTCTTACTGTGCTACTACGCTTGTCGCCCGTTCTTCAATATACGGTCTTATACACAAAGTTATTTATATATACATATATTTATTTCCACTCACCTTCAGAAAGAACAGACCGCCAGCTGGCAACATTATCCGATGTGAACCCGTATCAGTTTTCAATTCATGACCATCCTTGAACCATTGTATGGCTGGCGTTGGATCACCTTCGGCCTTACAATTGAATGTGAAGGGATCATTTTTTGGCACTGTCATATCCATAGGATGTTCGATAATGCGCGGATTATCGCCTGAAATGGGAGTGAAAGGAAGAAGGGAATGGAGGAAATGAATTAATTTCTGTTATATTCATAGCAATAAAAATGTCAATAACTTTCAACTTTCGAAGAGGAAAAAATTTATGTTTGCAAAATACTTAAATTATAATAATTGAGATGCATAACATTTATGTTACGACAGCAATTTATTCAAGGAATTTTGTATATTTACTTAGAAAAAAATTGCTTTAAAATCATTTTTAATATTCTTCTTGTATGCAAATGGAATTTCATTTGCCGCAGGTCGCAAGCCATTGCGGAGCATAATCTTGCTTTCTTATTATTTTATTTGCAGTATCCTTCAGCAGCTGGTATGCAAACTATCTGACCTCTCCAAATTGCCTTGTTAGTAATTTAAGCGCATAAAATATTCTAAAAATGCTAAACAATATCTTAAATTATGTTGCTTTCGCTTGAACTTTATTATTTATAAATATATGTGTGAGTGTTTAGCTACATACATTCCTTTCATCGTCCTTAAAAAATAAAAATTTAAAACACAAAAAAAAAGTAGAACGAATTAAAAAATCGTGGTTTCGGAGCAAATGTACCACCGCACAGTGTGTGACAAATTCGAATATCTCGAGAACGAGAACAGTCAGCGAATAACGAATAGCATTTCAAGACTTTTAAGATATATCAGTGGCCGACCCAGGTAGGGGAAATTAGGGAAGGCCTATCAGTTTTTCGAATTCACTGAATTTTCAAAATTTTGAAATTATGTACTTAATTTTCAATTTTTAGTTTTTTTGTTATATTTTCGAATTTGTACTATTTTACAAAGTTGAAAGTCACAGCAACTTTGAATATTCTCACAGGTTCACGTAACAAATAACGAAAATTCCAAAATTTTGAATTTTATATTATTAAATTTCTTGAGATTTCTCATTTTTAGGGTAATTTATAATTTCCAAAATTTCAAAAACTATCGAAATCCGGGAGATTCTAGAAATTTTGGTAAAATGAGAATATTTAATTTTTTTATTTTCCAAAATTTTGAGAATTTTATTTATTCTAAAATCCATCCTAAAATGTAAAAATGTGAAACATCACAAATTGTCGAAAAATTCTTATGTTCATATACTCGTGTGTAAAAAATAGAATATTCTTAGGATTCTAAAAGATATTAAGATTTTTGAAAAATTCCAAAATTGTTCCACTTTTCTGAACTTTTCCAAAATTTTGTATTGATATAACAAAGTTTGAGAATTTTAAATTTTTTGAAAATTTTGAAAACATCTACGTCTAAAAATTTTTTTAATCTTCAAGAATAACGAAATTTTTTTAAATTTTCAAAAACTACGAAATATGATAATGTTTTCAACATTCGAAAACTTTTAATTTCGTTTGATCAATTTTGTATATTCGAAAATTTTGGAATTCCACTCAAGTTATTAAAAAGGGGAAACTATAAGAAATTAAAAACTATCAAAACTCTAAACATTTTAAATTGCGGTTATTTTTAAATTTGTATACACGCTATATTTGTACATACGATAAAACGCATGCTGTTTTTAGGTAAAAAAAGACAAAAAATCCAAATTTTCACTTTTGAAGGTCAAGGTAATAATTTTTTATTCAATTTGACCTTAAAAAAAAATTTTTTTTTATTTTTTATATTTTTTGGCCTAATTAATAATTTTTATAATTTTTTTTTATATTAAATATCTTTATTACACTCAACAGCAAAAACCACAAGAATCAATTTTTTTCTATTTCATACCAAACTCGAAAAAATGCAAAAACTACCAAGAAATTTTCATCGAAATTTTAAATTTTTCAATTTCATTTCTTGGAAAATTTTTGAGTCTGCAGTTTTGTAGTCCATTAAAGTGCTAGTTTCAAGTAGTTAAAAGTTGCAATTCTTTTCAATGTTTTTTTTTTCAAATTGTCGAATTTAAAATTGAAACTTTGGATGAAGAGTAGGAAATGTGCAATGACAGTAGGGCGCTGTCAGAGGAGCTTTTTATGTCTGCAATCTCACAGCTCCCAGTTTTGCTGGGAGTTGTGAAAGGTCACTACGCAATCAGAATTCATGCGGTTAGACCAAAAATCTCAAAGAATTCTTGCTGCCACGGTATTCTGGCGGATGATGAGCTAGATTTTGAGCACTCTATTGTTAAAAAAAAAGAATTTCTTACAGAAAATACATGTCTTCGAAGTTCGTTTAACGCTCAAAACTATGTATTTACTTTAAACAAATGAGTTTCGATATAATCTGCGCATTCACCCTTTAACTGAGACCAAATCTCCTTAGGGTTGATAGAATATATTATCAAAAATCGTATCTAATCCCTACTATTTTTTCAGAATTTTCATTTGGTTAGCTCCATGCTTACTTGACTTCTATTTCTGTATGTTGATGCATACTTATTTATGTACATATATATTGAGTGCATGTTCATTAGGGTGGTCATTAAAATATTAAAATCACAGGGCACACCGTTATTTGGTTCTGGCATGAAAAAAATTAAAAAAAATTTATTCTGGGTAGCTCGCAGCATTTGAAAAACAAAATTATTTTTTATTATCGCTAAAATTCGACAAAATCTTGACTTTCACAACTCAGCGAGTTTAAGAATTGATATGCATTTTCGTTATTATGTCAAATTTGTCACATTTAAAGTGAATAATTTTGTCGAGCTTTTTTCAAAACCCTTTAAAATTTTTATAAAAGCTAAAAATTTTCTTAGAATGTCTCAGATTTAAAATTTTGAATATAAATTTTTTTCAAACCCTGGCAGCAATTCCTAAATATTTTTTAAAAAATTTTGAAAATTTCCTGAAAATTTTCTTAGGATGTCTCAGATTTAAAATTTTGAATATAAATTTTTCAAACCCTGGCAGGACTCCTAAATATTTTTAAAAAAATTTCGAAAATTTCCTGAATGTTTTTGAATTAAAATTTTTCCAAAGTTGGTAGCGACCCCTAGAAATTTGTTTACAAAATTTAGATTTTAATATTTTTATGCACCATCCTAATGTTCATTGTGTGATACTATTTCCTTTTTTACTCCTTCATCGTTATCCGCTTTCAATAAATCTACAAAATTTAATTTCCGGCTAAAATGTTGCAAACCACTTGGCAGCCAACCAGCAATACACAAAAGGTAAGAGCAACCCAGGCAGAAACAGAAACCCAGGTGATAACTGCAAGAACAACAATAAATAACAAAGCAACTCCTTTACCAAAGTAAATCCTTAAGCTTTAGTCGAGAACAACAACAATAACAGTGGTTGACAGTACCTTTTTTATCGAAAAAAAAACACTTCCTCTCTTCTTCATTTCTTCGCATATTCTTCATACTCAACACAACTAGGTTTTAATGCGCGCACTTTTCACTTTGCTTTGCTTTGTTGCCTTTCTTTAATTACCTTAAAGGCGCATTTTCTTCTAGCTCTTATGTAATTATGCCCCTTACACTCCCATACATACATCCAAGCAGCCAGCATTTTAATTCACCTTTGGCTATTCGCAGATTCTCTCCAACTGCCCACAGCGGCTTACAAGCGTCCTGCTGCGCTCCTATCGCCAATGTTGACCTGTCTTCTATGTCCTTCGTGTCCCTTATTTATGCGATTCAATGTTTTGTTTTGTGTTTGTGTCGATTTATATGTTTGTTTCTCATTAAAATTTATGCATTGTGTAATAATTTTTGTGGCGCTTGCTGCTCCTCAACCCAACACCACCACCATCATCCTACTCCATCACTGCTTTACCACATTTTCTCACATTTGATGTTAATTCAATTGTTTGTTAAGTGAATTATGTCCTCTAACATCCTGCACTTGTGCCACATTGTTACTGGCGTTGCTTTATGAGCAGCGCTTTGCTGGCCAACAGCTGAATTAAGTTAGTGTGTCGCTGTTGTTGTTGTTGCTGTCGTCACCGTTGTCATTGCTTTGCACACTCACTCATCTTCTTCTTACCGCTGGCAGCTTTCGTTAATTGAGTTCGTATTTATGTTGCTTTTTTTTGTGTTTCTCTGCTGTTGTATAAACGCTTAAGGATTTACGTCCTACTAAAGTCTTTATGTACCTTTGTTATCATCTATTTGCGTTAATTATTAAGAATGTTGGCCATGCTGCATCCTATGGCGTTAAGCGTGCAATAAATGTTAATGTACATTGAAATTTAAATTACCAATCGCTTTCAATTAGTTATCGAGCACTAATTGGGATTTGGATTATTGAGTAGTGAAATTTAGTATGTGCGTGGTTTATGGTTTTGGTGGTGGTGAAATGATTGCCAATAAAGTGGCAACGCTGTTCGTAAAAGCATTGGAATGGATATGTCAAATTAATTTCTTTAAGTAGGAATTTGGTTGTAATGAAGTTTTACAATTTTCATAAAATTTATTTGCCCCCAAAATTTGTCTTTTTACGATCGTGAAGTCTTGGACCACTGAGGGTAGTTTGATACTTTGTCTGACCAAATACATAGGAAAGTAGGAAACGCAAGTCTTTTAATATATCACGCAGTATTTGAAGCACTTTTGAAGTGAGTTAAGGTTAAGATTAGGATTAACATTAGGATTAAGATTAAGATTAAGAGAAACGTTTGAGGTTAGATGATGATATTAGTAGCTTGTTCCCAAGCACTATTGCAGTTGCAGTTGCGGATGCTCAATAGTGTTAGTAGAAACGGATTAATTATTGGTGAAGGACAATACGAATTTCTTCTTACACAGTCTACATGGACCGACTCCATTTCGGATAGGAGGGTAATGCAGATATGGACCATATGTTATATAATTTTGTGTTGCTAAATTCAGTTCACTTCCTTCAGCTTAACTCATTTCACCATATTTAAACTCATTTTAACTCAACCCACCTGAGCTCAATTCATCTGAACTCACCCTAATGCAACTAACCTCATATCAAATCAAATCAAATCAATACACCTCAACTCAACTCATCTCATCTCAAATCTATATATATATAATACGCGAAGGGATTTTTTGTCTAGGTCA